AGGTAGGAAGGGTGCCCAGGTCACAGGGAGAGAAGGGGTGAGAAGCAGGTAGGAAGGGTGCCCAGGTCACAGGGAGAGAAGGGGTGAGAAGCAGGCAAGAAGCGTTCCCAGGTCACAAGGAGAGAAGGGGTGAGAAGTAGGTAGGAAGGGTTCCCAGGTCACAGGGAGAGAAGGGGTGAGAAGCGAGCAGGAAGGGTTCCCAGGTCACAGGGAGAGAGGGGTGAGAAGCAGGCAGAAAGGGTTCCCAGATCACGGGGACAGAAGGGGTGAGAAGTAGGCAGGAAGGGTTCCCAGGTCACAGGGAGAGAAAGGGTGAGAAGCAGGTAGGAGGGGTGCCCAGGTCACAGGGAGAGAAGGGGTGAGAAGCAGGCAGGAAGGGTGCCCAGGTCACAGGGAGAGAGGGGTGACAAGCAGGCAGGAAGGGTGCCCATAGCACAGGGAGAGAGGGGTGACAAGTGAGCAGGAAGGGTTCCCAGGTCACAGGGAGAGAAGGGGTGAGAAGCGAGCAGGAGGGGTTCCCATGGCACAGGGAGAGAGGGGTGAGAAGCAGGTAGGAAGGGTGCCCAGGTCACAGGGAGAGAAGGGGTGAGAAGCAGGTAGGAGGGGTTCCCATGGCACAGGGAGAGAAGGGGTATCAATCAGGTAGGAAGGGTTCCTACAGCACAGGGAGAGAGGGGGTGACAAGCAGGCAGGAAGGGTTCCCACGGCACAGGGAGAGAGGGGGTGAGAAGTGAGCAGGAAGGGTTCCCATAGCACAGGGAGAGAGGGGTGACAAGTGAGCAGGAAGGGTTCCCAGGTCACAGGGAGAGAAGGGGTATCAATCAGGTAGGAAGGGTTCCCACAGCACAGGGAGAGAGGGGGTGAAAAGCAGGCAGGAAGGGTTCCCACGGCACAGGGAGAGAAGAGGTGTCAATCAGGTAGGAAGAGTTCCCATGGCACAGGGAGAGAGGGGTGACAAGTGAGCAGGAAGGGTTCCCACGGCACAGGGAGAGAGGGGGTGTCAATCAGGTAGGAAGTGTTCCCATGGCACAGGGAGAGAGGATGACAAGCAAGCAGGAAAGTTTCCCTCAGCACAGGGAGAGAAGGGGTGACAAGCAAGCAGGAAGGATTCCCACAGCACAGGGAGAGAAGGGTTGACAAGCACACTGGAAGGGTTTCCCCCACGGCACAGGGATAAGGGGTGCCCACAGGAAGGGTTCCCACAGCACATGGCAATCCACATGCTCAGTTTTGATTGTTGTGGCTGTTCTAGATCTCATTAAAATCATCATGGATTCATTCAGCACAGCTAGCACTTATTTGGGATTTGATCTTCTCAACAAGCCGAGGAAAAGAACTGATGGCAACATCCTCTTCTCGCCTGTGGGCATCTCCACTACCATCGGCATGATCCTCATGGGAAGCCGAGGAATCACTGCCTCCCAGTTACAGGAGGTAGGGGGGCTTCCTTTGTTTTATATGCATAGACTCATTTTGAATGGTCATCCTTCTAGCATTACCTTGAATCTGTTCTCAACTTGACCAGTGGGCCAAGAAACAGACTATCAAGACATGTAGCAATTTCCAGTTTGTCAGGAAAGCCCTCTTCCATCTCCAAATACCCTCATCATACCTGCCCCAGGAAGCTTGAAGGTGTTTTCAGTGGGGACTGGGTGTGTGACCTTGTCTAAAGCCATTATGCTCATAATTACACAGCTCATGGAGACCAACAAGTACTGGAAAAAGTGACATAATCCCCACTTGCATATAAATGACACGTCAGAGAGGAATACATGAATGGATAAACCAATGTAGGCTCCTCAGCAGGAATTCGTGGGAAATGCAGACCTTCCATGATTTTTCCAGGGGAGAAGTTGTGTACCACGGAAGTTCCTTTAACAAACATCTGCTTTTGTCAGACTAATTCTGCATGAAATTTCTCTGCTCTGACCATCACAATAATATTTTTTGTCCTTCCAGGTATTTTGCTCTGAGGAAGACACAGAGAGCTCAGGAATAAAAGCTGAAGAAGAAGTAAGGAGACTTCAGTAGGGTTTGTTTGTTTGTTTATTTGTTGTAGGTGTGGGCTCATCGGGGAGAAGGACTTGGAAAGGCATAAAAGAGTTATCACTTCGCTCTTGTTATTAAGTGATAATAATCATTACAGCCAAATAATGTTTCTAGGACATCTATAACACTAAACTCTTAATATTTGGAAGAGACCTTAGCTTTAGTGGACAATAACCACCATGCTATAACTGGCAAAGGCTAATAGGTTGGAAATCCCCTTAGCAGATTGCTTAAGTTTTGTAGTTACTGGGTGCAAGTCCTGGCTCAGTCACTTAAGAGCTATGCTACTTTGGGCAACTTATCTTCTTTCAGCCACTGTAAAGTGTTCATAGGAGCATCTGTAACACATTGGTGTTATATCCATTCATATTTTTAGCGTTTGGTGGTGTTTTATTAGTAGAGGACCAATGAGGTCTTTTCCAGCTTTAGTGTACTAGTATTCCTCCCCCAAAAGATAGTCTGTAAAAATATGAGAAAGGAATAAGTCTATTGGATCAGGGTTAGCATCAGGAAATGACCCAAGTTCTCAGGAATGGCATGACTGCTCTGATAGTATAGTCCATTTTCAGACCCTCATAAAATCATAGTTCAAATCACCTGGCAATGTAGCTGTTCACCTCAAAACCTTGAAAGACAAGGTCATCTGAGTGTATCTCTGGAGAGTCAGCCTTCCTTCCAGTGTTTGCACAACAGAGTTGGGTCAGGTAGCTTCTCTGGAGTCCCCTCTATGATTGAGGAGCACAGTTGCTTTCAGCATGATTTATTTCCCAGTCATGATAGGCAATACATGGAATCTTTGTATAAGTTAGAAAAAGGCATGTTATCTGGGATAAGATCCCTACTCCTGGGTGCAGGGCCTGACGACTGGAGTGGAAATTGAATTTCAGCTTTGTGCTGGGCACATCCTGTGCACATTCCCGAGTGGCAGCTCTGTCCATTCCACAGGAGCCACAGAGGTAAGAAGGATAGCATCACTGAATGAAAGGACACTAGGACTAGAATATTTCTTAGAAGTCTTCTATCCTAATCACATCATTTAGTGATTTGTCCAGAGATAGGCTTGACATGTACCATTTGAATGAATCTAGGATATTCTGAGCCTTGATTTTAAAGAGACATAAGTACAAAAAGTGTAAGGAATGATGCAATAAATAACTTATAACTCCTCTACTCAGGATAAGAAATAAACCATTACCAAATCAGCTGATGCCCCCCTTAAGTAACTTCCTTGGGTGCACCCCATCTCGTCCTGAGAGACGAAATTCCACTATTGTGGATGAAATTTCATTTTTCTCATATATTTGTAATATTATTTCATTAAATACAGTACCTTTTGTCATTATTGTTTGAAACATGATTGTTTTTGTTTCAACATTATGGTTATAAGATTCATTTATTTTAGGTGGACACTTGTAGCTTTAGTTGATTTATTTTTACAGCTGTTTATCTGTTTACCTTGTTAATAGGCTTCCTCCCTCCCTCCCTCCTTTCCTTCCTTCCTTCTTTCTTTCCTCCCTCCCTCCTTCCTTCACTCTCTCCCTCCCTCCCTTTTTACCAAAAAAGGAGAGTTTCTCTAGTTGGGGGCTATTCAATTTAGTAGCCATTCAAGTGGCTCCTGAGCACTTGAAATATATCTAGTCCATATTGAGATGTATCAACTACACACTGGATTTCAAGAGCTTAGTATGAGAGAAGAATGCAAAATATAATTAATTTATTATATTATTTTTACTGAAATAATGTATATTTGTAATAAATTAATTTATAATCAATATTTATTGTTAGTTATATGTTGAAGTGATGATATCCTAGATTTGCTGGGTCAGATAAAATATAATATAAAATTTAATTTCATTTGTTTCTTTTTACTCTAAAAAGCATAGTCACTACAAAATTAGAGATTATATATGTGGCTCACATTAGTGGCTTATATTATATTTATATGGGATGACATTTGGCATAGCACATATTGAGGGTATGTGTATGTTCAACTTTATTAATTATTACTAAAGGGATTGACCAGTATTTATTCCTGTCATCAATGTATCTAGACCCACTTCAAAGAGTTGTTCAGGGAGAGTGGGACCTGAAATCCCACTGGCTTTATAATTCCTGGTCATCTGTATACGTACCTTATACTATATGATCTATGTCCCTATCCATCTGTATGTTTTCTGTATCCGTGTATGATCATGTGACTTTATTCTCTGTAAATGGATGAATTACATTAATAGAATTTCTAATGTTAAGTCCTTCTTGCATTTGTGAGATAATCAACTTGGTCATGGTTTTTAGAAAATTATACACTCTTAGTTTGGATTTGCTCATATTTTGATGAGTTTTAAAAAATATTTGTTACCAATGAGATCAACCAGTAATATTTTTTCCTTGTACTGTCCATGTCCAGTTTTGGTATCAGGTAACAATAAACTCATAAAATGAATTGAAGACTATTTCCTCTTTTTCTATTCTCTGGAAGAATTTAGATAATCAGAAATACACGTAATTTTTTTGATTTTTTTTTTTTTTGGAATTTGGATTAAAATTACCTGGGCCTGATGATTTTTTTTGTTTCTTTTTTGGGGGTAGTGGGTTAGGATTTTTCATTACTTAGTAAGTTGTGGTGTTTTTGTTTCTTTTTGAATCAATTTTAAGTACTATTTTAGGTTTATTTTTCATTAATTTTATTTCTAGAGTTGAGATCAGTCATGACATACATCCTCATGTGATTGGGCTAAAACCCACCTGCTGAACATGGGCCATACCAAACATATGGCCACCAAACTGAGGGAAAGATCAGCAGCCACATCCTCTTATAGGGGAATCTAGGCTAGCTTTTGCCAAGATAAGTGATTGAGTTTTTATTTTCATGTTCAAGATTGAAAAGACAGAGGAGATTAATCACCTGTTCCAAAAGTTTTTGACTGGAATAAGCAAACTCACTGATGATTATGGACTGAACATAACCAACAGGCTGTTTGCAGAGAAAACATATCTCTTCCTTCAAGTAAGTTTTGCTATGTCTACCACACTGTGGGTGGTATTTAGGAGTGGCCAAGTGGCCCCGTCAGGACAGTGGTTGCACATTTGGCTGTGTGATTTCTCTGTCTGCTTTCCAGACATCCCAAACTTTAGGGAGTTTCTACGTAGTCCTGGCAATCTGCGTCTGATTTATGCTTTAACTCCATTTTACCTGCATAAAAACGCCTGTGGCGGCATTCTAAGTGATGTGCCCAGGGCCTTAAAATCTCTCTTACGATGTCCTAATGTACAGGTAACTTTGTTTGGAGACATAGTCAATTAATAAATTGATTTTTCAACTTCTTTCTATTCTTTCCTTGTTTCTCCTAAAGAAATACTTAGATTATGTTGAAAAGTATTACCATGCATCTCTGGAACCTGTTGATTTTATGAATGCAGCAGATGAAAGTCGAAATAAGATTAATTCCTGGGTTGAAAGCCAAACACAAGGTAGTGTATGTGTGGGTCATTTATCAAATAACACTTCCTGACAGCCTGCTGTCAGCGAAGCCTGGGCTTGGCACTGCCTGGGTGCCAGGCAAACAGGCTTTAGCAGGGGGTGGGAGGGAAGGACTTGGAGTGGGTCTTGAACAGTTGGAAGGGCGGGGCTGGGCGTAGGGATGGGCGAGGGCACTGCAGATGATGGGATAGTCTCAGCAAGTGTAGGGAGAGCCAAGAGGAGTGGGGTGGGGGGGTGCCAAAGGAAGCCAACTACATAGAAAAACTTAGGGGGAGATTTGTTTGCAGGAGGCCATGAAATGCAGTATATTGGGGGCTTTGGAGAGTGGGCTCCTGCCTGTCTTGGGTTTATGCTCTTTCCTTTACATAAGAACCTTTCTTCCTGAGCCTGGGACCCTAAGTGAAAATGTCCACAGGTTTCTCTTTGCTCAGTGAGAAACGTGCCACCCTCCTGTCAAGACCCGACTGTGCCTCCTGCAGCTGGGGCCACTTGCACCTCATCTCTACATAAGCATTATGCAGGGATGGAAACAACATTCAGCCCCATCCAGAACAGAGGATTTGACAAACGCCATGTTCCATTCTCCCCTCTCATCCCCTAGAATGAGCCAAACACGTGAGCAATAGCAAAGAGGAACATTAATGTGAAATACACTCCCAGGAGCAATAGCTAATGTTTTAGTGTTAGAGTTTTTATTTAGAGTTACATGTTTTTGGCTTGGCGCCTGTGGCTCAAGCGGCTAAGGTGCCAGCCACATACACCTAATGTGGCAGGTTCGAATCCAGCCTGGACCCGCAGAACAACAGTGATGGCTGCAACCAAAAAATAGCCTGGCGTTGTGGCGGGTGCCTATGGTGCTCCCTACTTGGGAGGCGGAGGCAGGAGACTCGCTTGAGCCCAGGAGTTGGAGGTTGCTGTGAGCTGTGATGCCACAGTACTCTACCCAGGGGGACAGCTTGAGACTCTGTCTCAAAAAAATAAAAAAGAAAAAAAATAGAGTTACATGTTTTATCCCAGTTTTTGGGGAGACCTATGTTATTTCAAGTGCATTTTTTGTCTTCATTCTTAGTCCAGGGAAAGAAAATTAAAAGAAGCAGAGAAAAAAGGGGGGGGTCTATCAAAAAGTTGGTTGATCAATATTTTTAGAATTTAGTGTGGGTTGGGCTGAACTCAAACACAAAAATATCAACTTTTCTAATAGAATAATCTCTATACCTCATGCAGGAACTGTATCAAATGGGTAAGAAGAATAATAGCTACCCCTGCATGTTTACTATGTGCTAGATGGCGTCTTCAGTACTTACATGTGTTAAATCATTTACTCCTTTCAACAATGCTATGAGGCAGATTTTATTCCTATTTTACAGATTTGGAAACTGAGAGCTTAAGTAACTTACCCAGGAGTCCTCCGCTGATAAGAGGCAAAACTGGATGCTGACAGAAGCATCTGACCCCGGAGTCTGGACTCTTAACCATCAACCTCAGTTTATCCAGTGGGGTAAACAGGCGATGGGCAGAGTGAGAATTTTCCTGCAAATTCTTCCAGCAAAGCTTTTTTTTTAGCAAGGCCTTCAGGTGCTGACCTGGCTGTGTTTTTAATGGTCAGTCATAACCATTTGCGTCATTTCTGCTGCATGCATCACTTGTAATTGAGAAGAATGGGCCAATTTTTGTTTGTTAATGTTTGTTTGCAGAAAGTACCAAGGACCTGTTTCCAGATGGTTCTCTTAGCAGCTTGACCAAGTTGGTGCTGATGAACACAATTTATTTTAAAGGGCAGTGGGATAGGAAGTTTAAGAAAGAAAATACCAAGGAGGAGGCATTTTGGCTGAATAAGGTATGGTGCTTGTTGCTCACACGTAGGATGCGATATCTGAAGTCATGTTTGAGCAAATCACATTGGTACCAAGGGGATGCTCTTTCTGACGCTCTGCTAATTTGTTGTAGAGTACAAGTAGATCCGTGCTGATGATGACACTGAAGCATTCCTTTAGCTTCACTTTCCTGGAGGACTTGCAGGCAAAAATTGTGGGGATTCCATATAAAAACAACGACCTAAGCTTGTTTGTGCTTCTTCCCAATGACATAGATGGCCTGGAGGAGGTAAGCAGCTGCATCTTGCCCAGAGCTTGTTCTGGGTGAGCCTGGACACAGGGCTTCCGAGCGCGAGGGGGCGTTTGGTGGTGTCCTCCATCCAGGTACTAACCAGGCCTGCCCCTGTTTAGCTTCTGAGATCAGACGAGATCAGATACATTCAGGGTGGTATGGCCGCTAACGGCAGAGTTAAATAGAACGTGTTTCTCATTCCACGCGACGGCTGCAAATGAACATCCAAACAGCAGCGTTAAATAGCGTGTATCAGGTCTGTTGGGAACAAACAATACAGTTTGTGGATGAGCGAAAATGAACGTTAAAGTTTATATGGAGTTCTAAAGAGGACCTAAATTCTGAGAAATGGCTGTTATTGGTGGGCTTCTTTCCTAGCCCCCCCCCAACAAATAAAAATCACATATGCATGTATACAGCAAATTTTGCACACTACTCAGTACTCTCCTGGACCTTTTCAACTTCTTCCTTCGACCCTTTTAACCCCATTGATTTAGTCCCAGCCATTTTTCAGTTAAAAAACTAGTGTCCTGTACTTTGAAAATCAGGAAGCCTTGGTTTCAAATCCCTGTTCCTCTTAGTTTTCTGATGTTTGAAGCTTCTTAACTTCCTGGAACTTCAATATTGTCTCTCTGTAAATGGTGCTGAGTGGGCAGCATTGTTGCAATGATCAGAGAAATACATCCCCGAATGGGTGGAGGACGTGGAAAGCTCTCAGGAAGTGCTAGCCGCTATATTATTATCGTACTGGATCCTGTGATACTGCTGTGAAACACAGCTAGCAGCGTTTTAAGTTAGAAAACATTTTGCGACAGCAACGTAGTAATATGTACGGAAGCTTTAAGAGTATTTATACTCTGACTCAAAAACCCAGATTCTTTACCTTAACTAAAGAAATAATTTAGAAGAAAAAAATTGCCTTTTGAGTCAAATCAGCAATTTCAGTATCAAATGCACCTAGTTTGAAATTTGTAGTAACTTATTTTGGTATCCGCTGTACGTATCCAGGTCTATCATAATGCCTGATACATACTACACGTTTGGGAGGAGAACGAATAGATGAACATTAGGTACAATTTATCAACTTAATGGGAACATTAGCTAGCAGTTTAAGGAGGTAGATGCAGTTGTGTGGAAATGTTCAAGTTATATCAAATAAATGGGCATCAACTGTGACTGCAACTCTGTGTGTGTGTATACGCATGCATCCACAGACTAATGGGTGATAGTGAAGTATGTTTTAAATTGGTAGGATAAAGAAATGACTTACTTAAAATTCATTTCCTGTTTTTGCATTTTCAAATATACCAAGATTTTAAATAGAGAACCGTAAGACAACTGCCTGCTCGGTAGAGAGTCTAGGGCAATGACATTTCTACTTTTATTTATTGCTAAAATTAGTAACTTTTGTCTGATACAAATCAGTGTTACACTGTTCTAAATTTTGGTTGATAAGCATGCTCTGTTCTGCTTTCCTTTCTTTTTAAAAAATAGATTATAGATAAAATAAGTCCTGAGCAGTTAGTGGAGTGGACTAGTCCAGGGCATATGGAAAAAAGGAGCGTTCATCTCCATGTGCCCCGGCTGGAAGTGGAGGACAGTTACTTCCTTGAGGACGTCCTGGCAGACATGGCGATGGGCAACAACTTTGGGGAGTGCCAGGCCAACTGTTTGGAAATGTCCCCACGCTCCAGCTTGCAAGCCCAGAAGATCCTGCACAGATGCTGCATAGCGCTCACCGAGGAAGGCACCGAGGCTGCAGCTGCCACTGGCATCGACTTCAATGACGCATCAGCCCCGGGTGATGAAAGTACTCATTCTGATTGCCCCTTCCTGTTCCTCATCAGACAGGATGCCACATCAGACCCACGTGATGAAAACGTTTGTTGTGATCATCCATTCCTGTTCTTCATCAGGCACAATGAGTCCAAAAACGTTCTATTTTTTGGCAGATTTTCTTCTCCTTAAGAGAGTCAATGCTGTGGCATTGCTGTCCTTAGAAAAGACAGCCACCAATGTGAGCACAGTCATATGATAGTGGAAATCGTCTGTTCTTGTGAATATTGATTTTCTCACTTATATTCCAATCCCACATTCAAATCAATAATTTAATTGACTGTAATGGTGTGTGTCTGTGGTTAAAACTTTCCTTTGAAAGTGAAATGTCCTTTTTTTGTGCCATGCATAAGGCAAGTAAACCAGAGCTCATTGATAATCTCTCCTTGGTTTCTTTTCTTTTCTTTTTCTTTTTTTTTTTTTTTATTAAATCATAGCTGTGTACATTAATACTATCATGGGGGTACAGTGTGTTGTTTCTATAAACAGTTTGAAATACTTTCATCCTCTCCTTGGTTTCTTTTGAAAGTAAATCAATGTCTTGTGGTTTGTGCCTCAAAGAAGAGAACAGTCTCTTCAGTAAATAAAGAGTGGACTAACAATTTGGGAAGTCCTAGTTCTAGAATTTTGGCATATTTTAATATACAAGTAAAATAAAATAATAATTGACTTGATTCCTGTGGTCTTTTTTTCTTTTTTCTTTTTCAAGATATTGTAGAACACTGCACCTAGGAAGGAGAATTTAGGAACACAGTAGCCAAACATGAATTAAAACTCAGATCTCAGCATAAGCTAATAAGTAATTACTTCCCATTTTATTTTTTATTCCTTAAAATTCCTTAAAATTCTTTAAAGAAACTTCTGGGTTGAGAAAAATGGCCATTCTCATAACGGCACCAAAAAATATGCAATAACAATAATGAACACTTGTACCCTTGTAAGATAAACCACAGAAGTGATCCCTCCTATCCCTCTCCCTCCACCCCCCTCCCCTCTCCCTCCCCTTCTCCATATTCTTAGGCTGTTATTAGGTTATAGCTTTCATATGAAAGCTATAAATTAATTTCATAATAGGGGTGTGTACATTGGATACTTTTTCTTCTATTCTTGTGATACTTTGATAAGAAGAACATTTTCCAGCTCCATCCATGTGAACACAAGTGAATCTTTCTAAGAGTAGAATATGAACGTTTTAACACAATAACTAAGAAAATGACATGAAGGCTATGTTAACCAGTTTGATGGAAATGTTTCAAATTGTATGTGAAAACACCACACTGTAACCCAGAAGTGCATTAATGTACATAGTTACCATTCAATAAAAAACAAAACAAACAAACAAACAAAACAATAATGAACACAAGACACAGCCACACATAGACACAGACCCAGCTGTGGGACACTGTCAGAGAGCATGTTAGGAACCCTTACTGAGTTGTTTGTGCAGTGCTGCCCCATGAGCACGTGATGCCAAGTTCCCGGACTTACTTATTTGCCAGACCACCTAGAGCTGGGGGCCTTCTGACCTTAGACTCCCACCCACCTAAGGAAACTGGGAGACAGGGTCTTTATCTCCCGTGATGTTTACATTTCAAAGAGATGGTTCCCAGGACCTTGAGAAAAGCCTTTCTTGGTCATAAAGCTGAAAAAAGCCTATTTAGTCTCCCAAAGGATTAATGTATATTTCAAAGAGGGGAGAAAATATTTAGACTTATAAATTTTCTAAAGGAAATACTCTGATTAAAAAGGAGAGGGGGAGACTTGCTTCCCTTATTTTCATCCGAGAGAACTAAAATGTATTATTTCTAATTTGCATGGGTCCTGACAAATGTTACACTGGGGTTTTCATTTGACATGAGGGCAATTAACCACAATCTGGTTATAACAACTGTCACATCACTCAAACACTTATGTAAAACAATGTGGTCATGAATATACTTTCAATTTCTTTTTCTTTGAACTCACCACATTGTTTTGTTTATCACTATTTACTTGAACTAGTATTACCAGCTGTTTCGAAATAGTTGTTGCTGAACCCACTGAATTACAGTGCATAGAAAATAGTGAATCCTTGTAGACTGTAGTCTGATACAGTTACAAGGCATTCTGATTTATTTAATGAGTCATACTTTAATTGATATTCAATAGCAGTATTTATGTCACAGTCTGTGCTCCTTGATAATTGATAGTATATTAGTACAAATTATAATATTTCTGTCAGAGCCATATCTAGATTTACTAGTAAATTGATCATAGAGTCAGTGAACTTTTTCAACATTTAGATTTTACTAATTTCTTGAACAGATGATACATTCGTGATTGAAGATACAAAAGGTGAAAAAGATGTAGAGTGCATAGTCTCAGCTGCCAATATCCCCAAGCCCCTCAGTTACCCACCATGGAATACATGCTGTGGTTTTTTATCTGTTCCTGCAGAGATATGTTATGTGTTACACACAAATACGTGTACGCAGATTATATTTTGTTCCTTCTTAGCACAAACAGTATTGATGCAAGTCCCCTTCACCTAGGCCTGGACACTACCCCCATTTGATGGTCTCCCAAATAGGCTCTTAGACCAGCTTGATCAAACTTCCATCTGAACCTTCAGAGAGAAGGGACACACTCTATTCAAGACCACATTCCTACACAATGGCAGTGTTAAAATTAACTTCTGGCCACAGGCCCCTGGCACCAAATGGTTGTGACAGATCGTGGATATACATTCCGTCTCCCCAAACCTCCCTGCCTGCAGGGTATGCAAAGCTGTATACTACCCCATGGGCAGAGAGCTGAAATGGGCTACCTGCTTGGGAGACCCCCTCTACTGCACTAGAGGCTTTCCTATTTCCTTTCTCTTATCCCCCAACTTGAATTGAATTCAATTTTTCTGTTGTGTGGGTGTGTATTAGTTCACTGCCGGCATCATATTAGTATTGAGCACATGGGACACTTGCTTTGCCATCCTATGATACTTTACTAAGAGGAATGCGTTTCAACTCCATCCTGGCTAATACAAAAGATGCAAAGTCTGCATCTTAAAAGTGGAGGCTTCACGACTTTGCCTGTCACCCTGGTGCAGGGGCCATGGTAATCTTCTCTGTACCCTTCTAATTTTGGTAGATGTGCTGCTGAAGCAAGCACGACGCCAATATTTTCAAATGCCTGTCTGACAAGTCTATTTGGGTCTTAAAAGAAGCTCAAATTCAACAAATGCAAATTTAAACCAATGATCCTCTATTCTCTACAAAACACCTTCTCCTTCCATCTGATTAGTTGTAGGTCAGAAACTGGGGTGTCTTTCTTGGCTTCGCCTTTTCCCTTCTCTCTCCTCTCTTGCCCGAATTTTGCAGATGCGACCTCCTGAATAATTCTCTTTCTCTCCATCTCTACTACCGTCACTGTCATGGCTTCCTAATTTATTTCACAGTAACCACAGTGTTCTTCATTCTCATTTGTTTACATTGGAGTAGCCAGAGATGTATTTTCAAGAAACAAACATGGTAATTTTATTCCCCTCTTAGAAAAACAAATAATCAAAGCCTGTAATTAGCTTTTCATTCTTTTCAGGATGAAACAGAAAGTTCAAAATGTCTTTTCTTTTTTTTTTTTTTTTGAGACAGAGCCTCAAGCTGTCCCCCTGGGTAGAGTGCCGTGGCATTATAGCTCACAGCAACCTCCAACTCCTGGGCTCAAGCGAGTCTCCTGCCTCCGCCTCCCAAGTAGCTGGGACCACAGGCGCCCGCCACAACGCCCGGCTATTTTTTGGTTGCAGCCGTCATTGTTGTTTTGGCGGGTCCGGGCTGGGGATTCGAACCTGCCACCTTAGGTGTACGTGGCTGGTGCCTTAGCCGGTTGAGCTATAGGCGTCGAGCCCATAATGTGTTTTCCATGGCTGTTCATGTTCTGGTATCCGCTTATCACTCCAGACTCATCACGCCCTGCTGTTGTTTAGAATTTCTCTGTCTGTATGATTAATATATTTCCACATTACCCTATCTTACGTATGATTGGCCACTTGCATTTTGTTGAAAATGCAAGAAAGAAAAAAAAAAGGAAAAGGTAATTCACATCATTATTTTATTGATGTTGTATCTCATAGAATCATCCAGTTTAGAAATATAAGAGGAGTTCCAGGAATCATCTAAATTCAAACAATGGTGGATGTCTAGGTGAACAAATTTCAAGAGAAAGTATAATTTGGTTTTATTCATTTAAAATAGGTTACAACAGAATCATATTTCTAATTTAGAAGATACGGTATTGAAATAGCCTTTGATCTTATCTTGAAGTTGAACATTTTTCCTCAAAGGAAATTTTTATGGAAGATTCATATGTACTTAGGAAGAGAAAGATAGAGGAACATGCTATTTCAACCATTCATTTCTTGGTGATGACTATGAGATTGAAAAGAAACATGAGGAAAGAGAACCTGTTGTTTCCAGCAACCAATTTACTGGAGCAACTCTGAACTTCCAAAGGTTACAGGCTAATCACATCTGAGGGGAAGAGACTCTGCCAAGGAAGAGGATGTCGTTGGTCTTATTTTGCTTGATGAAGAATAGGAAGGGGTGATCACAACAGAACTCTTCTTCAATTGGAGAAGATGTTACACTTATTACCATGCTGGTGGCAGATGCAGCCTTCACTCCCTCCTCCGTGACCTCTACAAGTGACTTGTGTAGGACCTTAGAGACCATGAGACCACGACTCCCAGTCATCCCTGAAAGGTCAGCACCCCGTGCAGAGAAGGCGTCTGTCATACCCATGGCTTTCAACGTGTCCTGGAGGTCATAGCTCTCTTCTAGTCTGAAACGAGGTAAGTATAAATGCACCCGTGTCATTCTCATATTTTTTGAGCTCGTCCATTCTATCAGTCATTCAGCAGTGAGTTTATCTTCAAGCTATAAACATGGTAAAGAGAAACTTACACAATTAGCTACAGACCTCTAAAACACCTTAACAATGGATCAAATATAGGTAAAGTCTTCATTTCAGCAATAAATATAAAACACAGAAGGTTTGTTTTATTAGATATTCTAATAAGCAACAATAATGGTACTGATTACGTAAGAACTTTTGATGATATATGTATAAGCATATATGTATGTACATATGTATGTTTGTAAAAACAGGAGCATTACATTATTTTGTACAGAATGAATGGTATTTCACTGTTCTTTTGCCAACAGCCTCCTACATGTGTCAATTTTTAACCGACTCTTCCTTCTCTCTACACATTATCACACATTCCAATTATAGTGTATACTCTGTTTTTATTTCCTTTTTCTTGCTTTATGTATTTGAAAACGATTCCCACATTGCTACATATTTGTCTCAATCCAGTTTAAATTGCATAATAACACCATTAAGTAAATTTCCACTGTACGTAACTCTAATGAAAGTAATAATTTCTTCAGCCTTCCATGTGCATTAGGTCTTATTAAAATATTTGTAATACAAAAATAAATTGTTCCTTACTTTGAATTTTTCATTATTTTGAAGCACCTTTGTCTAATTTAGACTTGGTACCTTAGGAAAAAAATCACGCAATAGAAGGATTGTGGATGCAAGATTTTCCCTTCTGCAGACCATCTTTCTCATTTGGTAGCAGCACAATCCTGCTTAGTTCTTTGCCTTTGTATGGTATTTCCAGAGCCTTGGCCTGCACATCCTCTAGCAAGGCAAAGTTAAAGTACTTTGTTCATTTCATCATCTCCTCAGATTTGCTTGTGTCCTGCAAAAAATTAATGTGATGAACAAATACCAAGTGAGACCTGAGATGAAAATGATAATATTGTTGAGATACCGATAATATTCTTCTTTTTCAAAGAAATAAGTCAGTAATCATATATTTCTAAAAAAATAAATTTATAAGAATCAAGCAAGAAAACAGTAGCCATGACTAACTTTATTTTTTACTTGCCATGGTAAATTCCATCAGATGTGTTTAAACTTAACACTCCCTGTAGATGTACATTATATAAATTATACAATTTAAAATATAGGCAATACCTTGTTCAGCCAAAATTCTTCCTCTGTAGTTCTTTTCTTCCTCAAATTTCTCCTCCCACTGGCCTTTGAAATAACCTGCGTTAGCCAGAACCATTGTGGCGGCGTTAAGACTGTTCTCAGGAAATAGGTCTCTGATTTTTCCTATCAGAAAAAACGGGTCTGTCATGCAAGGACAAGTGACTTGTCTGGAAGATGCTTTGCAAAAGTTTGTGACTGAGCTCTCATCATTTGCCCAAATCACTACTTTAGGAATGCACTAACCAACTGTTCACAAGATGCAGCTATCCTCAAGGCCACACCCCAACATAGATCCCACCCCTGGTGGAGATACCACTCCTTATGCTGGGAAAAGAGTTCAGGTTTTCTGTGTGGGCGTGACTTCAATCATCTCACACTGAATACTGATAAACTGATTTTATTCTTTCAATGTCTATCTTGTTTCTCCCTGCCTACTTGTCTTCTCATTATTTTTAGAAAAGTGTATGTCAGTATACTATGTGTGTGCATGTGTTTGGGTGGAACTGGAGACGACTCTCCTAAGTGAATGGGAAAAAATGACACCTGTTCTGAGTCCTAAGTGGAAGTAGTTGCTGAACATGTATGTGCTCATAGGAAGCAAACTCAACGAAGAGTTTCTGCATTCAGGGGAAGAAGAGGGGAAGAGTAAATTCTCACCCAGTGGGGATTTTGCGTGGGTACACTGTCCGCTTTCTGGGAGAGGGGCACACCTATAACTTTGACTTAAAATTTAGAAAGCAAGCTGTGTAACTCTTCCCATATTTTTAAACTTTGGGGTCACTCACAGCAGAAGTAGGACCTAATTGTGTTCATTAGGACCAATGATACGACCTCCTAGCTCTGTGCAGTGAGACACTACTTCCCTAATGTTTCTCTGTGCATTCTCATGTTGAATACTGTAAATTTGGTCTGTTATGAGAGGTGGGTGGTAGGTCAGACATTCATATTATAGAGTAAAACTGTTGGTAATGTCTCTGTCTTGCATGGAGAAGACAGCTGTGGTCATCCCTCGCTGCAAGTGGGGCAGACAGTCCCAGCTCTGGGGGAACTGCCTGGGAAAGCTGCTTATTTCCCAATTCACAAAGCTCCTATGGTTTTCTCTTAAAGATCCATAGTGAATAATGGGCTCTGATGTAAAGAAAAGGATCTGGTCTTGAAATGGGTCTGTACAGAGACTTGGGATCCACTGTAAAGATACAGTCATGTGGGGCCATGTGCCAGCCATCCTCCATCCATGTTGCCATGTAATCAGCTTCCTATGATTCTCTTCCTGTTTCCCCTTGGCGCTCTACACATTAATTGGACTCTTTCATCGTCTGCGGGGCTCTCCTCCATCCTCTCTGTCAATCCATCTCAATGCTCCACCTTCAGTACCCCATGTAGTGTCAAGCACAGGGTTCACTAACATGAGGTGCTCAAAGTTGTTTCTATAATGGGCAACCCTCTTACCATTTGTTTGATGTTCCACCTGGGAATTAATCTTCTTTCGACTTTCTTCCGGAGCTTTCATAAAATCAACAGATTCCACACTAACCATGTCTAATTTTTTAATGTTATCTATAAACTTCTTTAAGATGTGAAGGAAGAAAAGAGGAGTTACGAGTGGTGTATCTGCAGCTATGTATTAGCACATATACTTATTTATAATTGTAGTATAATGAACCCAGACCCTGAACAGATCCACTAGCTCCTGCCCTTGCTTATTTTTAATGCAGTCGCCATGTAGGCCACATGAAAGGGTTACAGGCTGGCGCAAGAAGGAGGTCACTGCCAGTCAGTGCCACGTGGCAAGTGGTAGGGACACAAGACTGTGATTTACAACCTGAAATGCAATTTGCTTCAGAGGAGGTGAATTTCACGAGACTTCTTGCCAGCAATCTCAACCAAGATGTTTCTCCCCTTTGTGTGATTCATCCTGGCTTTTCAGTATTTCGTTGAACTTCCCACCTACCCCCAGGGACTCCCCCATGCCTACTCACTCCAATAATAACTCAGGGGCCTTACATTTTCCACCAGTATGTGCCGCATATTACTGGCATCTCATGACTGACTCTACTACCCAATGTCCTCCCTGGGGAGGATTAACCTTGAATCCACACAATTAGTGCATCGTCAGAGGCTAGGGTAATACTTTGGTAACTGAGCTAATGCACCCTGAGTCAATGCTCTCCCCCTAAAGGCAGCAGGTTCATCTTCCTTGCTGTCCCACCTTTGGCCATTGAGAGACATAGGACCCAGAATGCAGAGTAGTTTTGGTAGGTAAGACGAAATTTACCTCAGGAAATCTAAAAGTATTTTCCACATAGAGACTGCTGGTAATCTTCAGCTCATATGCATTAGTGGGTTTGTTTAATTCAGCCAGAAGCTTTTGAAATTGGTGATGCACATTTCCTGACTTTTCAACCTTCAAACATCAAAAACAGAGCGAATTCAATGACTGAATCAATGAAATGAACAAACCCATACTAAGTCCCATATGAAGTCTGTTAGGTCAATACCTAAAGATGGGTGGGTGGTCTCAAAGAAGATCTTATGCCAATTCCCTGATTTTGGTGTATTTTACCTCAAGTACCCTTCAGACTTTACCTCACATTTAACTTTTCCTAGAAAACTCTTTCTTCTTGCTCTCGGATAGTACAATTTTTCCCCTTTTGCAGCAAAGACATAACACCATTTCTACCACTGGGACTATTCCTTCCTAGGCTTTTATGGTTAGATTTAATTTCTCAGCTAAATGCCAAGCTCCTCAAGGCTAAAAACTGTATTCCTAACAGCCATCATGATATGAATATGTAGAAGTTTAGATTTTTAAAATATGTTATGGCATGAGGCCCTGTTACACCGCCTGGGGGTTATCATCTTCTAAGACATATTGTCTGTGATTTCGGGTTTGTTTCTCCATCATCCTCTGTGTGTAAGAGGTCAGGGCTTTCCATGGGTAGTGCTAAGTCTTTAGTCCAATTCGGATGAAAACAAGACAGCTCAGAGATTTAAAAAACCTCTCTAAATAGGTGTAAGTTAGCAAACGCATGTTTTGAACTGAAGCCTGTCTGATTCTAGACCCCTTTACGTTCCAGCTTGGAGTTCTGCACTGTTCAGGCTCTAAACCAGTATATCTTAACATAATCATCTTCCTAAATATGCTCGGACTTTTGCTTATTCTTCTTGATCTCATTAATGAGAATTAAAGTTAAATTATTGTAGCAACATTATTGTGATTAGTAAAATGATTATTTTATAATAATAGCATTTATTATGGCCTTTTATAGGCCAGGCAGTCTTTTAAATGTTTGGATATATTCACATGTATTGAGTCAGACTTTTTTTTAATCAACTCTTGCTTTACTGGGTGTTTGTGAAGAGCAGGGTTGGGATTTGAACCAGCCTATCTAACTCTAGACCCATGTTCCAACGTGCAATGCTGACTTTCTTACGTTAAAGCAAAAACATGGAAATAATAATTATGTGACACAAACTGCAAAACCACTCTGTACAAACCCCTCTTTGTGGTCCAGGATTTCTCCTAAAAATTGTCTTTCATTTTTATGTGAAGTTTCCAGCTTAAACTATGTCTTGCTCAGATTTCTGGACCATCTCTGAACTGCAGTGCTCTGGACTCACGTGGTCTGCTTGAACTCTTTCTGTTGTGTTCTCTGTGCCGTCAGTAAGGTGAAGGACCTGGAAAAGACATGAAGTGGGACAAGAAAGCTCTATTCAGAAGACCTGTTTAAATCAGTGCTCACACAGTTACAGGAATTTCTGCTTAGCTCCTGTGCTAGTCTACCCTCCAGGCCCTGTGCTACCCATCAGCCCCTATGCTACCCATCAGCTCCTGTGCTACACACCAGCCCATTCACTACTTTTTAGGCCACCAGATCTGGTGCCATTTGCATGTTAGCGAACAGAGGGACAGAGAGAAAGACAGAGAGCAAAGTTCAAACAGGGAAAGGTTACAAAGCTGACACCAACCTTCAGAATTTGTAGTTTGGTGTTTCCTCTGGACCCTAATAAGAGGATCCCTAATGCTGATAAGATGTTGGTAGGTGAAAAGAAGATATTGTCCTCCTTGGATTTTCCAAACTGACGGAACATATCCAGTGCAAACTGGGTGACTGCATCGCTGAGTAACATCATGGCGACCTTGGTACAATCTGGAACTCCTGGAAAAGCATCAGATTCATAGCGAAATGACATGGCTGAGTTGAATATCAGTTTGTAATAATTTTTTATAGTAAAGGACATCTTGTTTATAGGATTCTGGCAATTAAAGTTTTTCTTCTTTTTAATTTTCAAGATTTTTACAGGACACATATATTAATCTCAGAAGACTCACAAAATTACTACTTTAAAACACTTCGCAAATAAGTAATAGAACATCTTTATCCTTTCTTCATGGCTGGCTGTACCAGTCTAGGGAGAAAAGCTTTATAACCAATGCTAAGATGAAAATTTCTGTACGTGACATACATCCAGCTCTCAAAAAAGGAACTCTGACTTTTTCTTCAAGGTTTTGTGGCTGGCAAGCACTCTTCTCCCTCACCCCACCCCGGTGCTTCTGAGGGTACATTTGTTCATTTGGAAATGAATAACTGAAAGGACAAATCAGATGAAGTAGGTATTTTCAGAATAACCAAAACACAATTAGACAGAATGAAATAAATGCATGATATAAAAAGTAGTATTATTTAAAAAATAATTCATATGGTGAAGCTGGAGTGGCTGGAAGCACTTACCTGTGTTGCTGGAAGAAGCTGAGGTTGGCAGGGGGCTGTGACCGTCTCTGTGAGATGAGTGGTGACATCCTGAGTACATATGTACCCTTCTTCTTTCTGCTCCTCCCACTTCATAATTTCAAATAATGCAACTTTAGATTTCACAACCAGATTAATCCTCACTTTATCAGAGTGAAGATCTATGAACCAAAAGGCAGGGATTTTTTGGTGCAGCACCGTACTTCGTTTTTAAACTGTCGGAAAAAAATTGCAAATTTGCAATCATTGGCAATCAGTGGCTCATTTGAAATCCATGTAGGTGCCTTTGTCATACCAAATGAGAGTAATGTTAAAATTTCAACTTCCTCTCGTTCCTTTCAGCTACAACATCCTTTTGGTACACTTCCCCAACTGTTAAAACAAGTCTTTCTTTACTTCAGTGTGGAATTGTCTGTAAGGTATACTTGGAATATTAAACAATAAAGAGCTTACATTCTTTTTTTTTTTTTGAGACAGAGCCTCAAGCTGTCATCATGGGTAGAGTGCTGTTGCATCACAGCTCACAGCAACCTCCAACTCCTGGGCTCAAGGGAGTCTCCTGCCTCCACCTCCCAAGTAGCTAGGACTACAGGCACCCGCCACACCCGGCTATTTTTTCCATTGCAGCCATCATTGTTGTTTGGCAGGCCTGGGCTGGATTCTAACCCGCCAGCGCAAGTGTATGTGGCTGGAGCCTTAGCCGCTTGAGCCACAGGTGATGAGCCAAAGAGCTTACATTCTAACAATTTCCCTAGTAACTGTTCTGTATAACCAGGAAAATAGTTCTAATTCTAGGTCTGATGAGATACCAAGGCGATGCCTTGGAGGACTGTAGAGAACAGGGTTCTGGTGCTTTCCCCCAGATGCTCCACCTTCGCAGCGATCCTCCTGGTTATCTCCCGTGCCCCCTGTAGACATTCCAGCTGTGTTGTTTTACTTAAGGTCAGTGAGTTATTTACTTTGCTAAGTTAACATGCTGGCAATGAAGAAACAGTTGGAGAAAACAGAAACCATTTTGAATGGAAGCTTTCTAATTTTTGATATGAAAATGAAACAGAAAGCTAAATTGTTTGAGCTACGAGGATCACAATATTTCTCTGTCAATCTCACTATTTATTTATTCTGGGCTGGAGGCCAGAATCAAATGTTTGTAAGAGATAACAAGAAGGGGGATGTGTTCTTTGAAGGCTACTGTGAAGTTGATTTTTACTGGCTCCTTATTCACTGCACATGCCCGGTTCTTGTAGGTACAATAGCATTAATGACTGTTGACCTTTACTGATCTGGAACGTGTATTTGCTTACTTCCACCTTACAACTCATTAAAGTAGGCACATTTGTTATCCTCATTTCAAAGATGACAGAACTGAGACACAGAGCCATCAAACAAGAGTCTGGGTATATTGCTAGTGACATGCGCAGGGGAGATTTCAAGACAAATAATCAGGCTGAGGAAGTTGCTGTTTCTCTGCTAGGATACACCACATAAGACAGCCTCCAGGTTTAAGATGACATCTAAGTGTTTCTTCCATTTTAAGTGATGAGATCCTTTTCTTCTGTACTCTCAGAAGAGAAAATGTCTTCCCACCCCAAATCTGAAGGGACAAGAGTGGATCAAATACTAAGCCATAGACTTGTCTTCTGTGGCGACTCCCACAAGCAGGGGAATAGGCTGGGCCCAAGGCACCCTTGGGGCTGTACCCTGAGTGGGGATGGAAACAGGCTGATTTCCTCTGTCTGTGGCACTCAGAGAGGCAGGAGGAAATAAAACACCCCAGTGCTTTCTCTGAATAACTCCTACCCTGAGGGATGTTCGTAGCCAGGGGGAGGAATGTCCCCCTGATTAAGTAAGGGCATTTAACCCAATACCTCCCTGAATTACAAGCAGTGGGGGCTATTTGTTCTCCCTTTTATTCATTGGTCTATGTGTCTTTATTTTATTTTATTTTTTGAACATTAAGGGGATACAGATATTTTTGCCACATAGATATCCTTTTTATTTTATTTTTTATTTGTTTGAATTTGTTTTATTTCAAGTTATTGTGAAAGTACTAACAACCAGGTCACAATTTTTGAAATTTTTAGGTGGAATCCCTCTTGTGGTTGTGTCTTGGACCCAAAAGGTCTGCCACATACTCCTACCTTGTGCTCTTTAAGTGGGAGCGCAACAGCCTCTCCCCTTCTTTCTTTCTCTGCTCCCTCATTCCACCTCCCCCCAATTTGGATGGAATTAAGTTTTTCTCTTATGTGGGCATGTGTTAGATCATCTACTGGTTTCACAATAAAATTGAGAACATCAGATACTTGCTTTTCCATTGCTGTGATACTTTACTAAGGAGAATGTGTTTCATTTCTATCTAGGTTAATACAAAAGATGTGAAGTCACCATTTTTTTTTTTTTTAACAACTGGATAGATTTCATGGTATAAATATACCACAGTTGTTAATCCATTCCTGAGTTGATGGGCATTTAGCTTGTTTCCATATCTTGGTGATTGTAAACTGAGCTGCGATAAACATTCAAGTGCAAATGTCTTTATGAGAAAATGATTTTTTTTTCTTCTGGGTAGATTGCTGGTAATGGGATTGCAGGGTGAAATGGGCAGTTTAATTTGAGTTCCTTGAGGACTCTTCAGACTTCTTTCCAAAAAGGCTACGTTAGTTTGCAGTACTACCAACAGTGTAAAAGTGTCCGTCTCCACATCCATCCCAACTTTTGCAACTCTGGGACTTTGTGATGCGGGCTATACTCATTGGTGTTAAGTGATATCTCAGGGTGGTTTTGATTTGCATTTCTTTGATGATTAAGGATGATGAGCATTTTTTCATATGTTTTTTAGCCATTCATCTGTCTTCCTCAGAGAAAGTTGTGTTCGTGTCTCTTCCTCAGTGATAGATAGGATTGTTCACTCTTTTTGTTGATTAATTTGAGTTCTCTGTAGATCTTATCAAGCCGTTGTCAGACTCATAATATGCAAATATTTTTTCCCATTCTGAATGTTGTCTACTTGCTTTAATTGTTGTGTTCTTAGCTGTGCAAAACCTTTTCAATTTCAATAAGTCAGATTTGATTCTTTTTGTTGTGATTGCCACTGAAGTTTTCTTCATAAATTCTTTCCCCAGACTGACATCCTCAAGAATTTTTCCCATACTTTCATCCTGGAATTTTACCTTACTGGGATTTTTATTGTTTCATGTCTTAGATTTAAATCTTTTATCCATCTTGAGTCAATTTTTGTAAGTGGTGAAAGATGTGGGTCCAATTTCAGTCTTTTACATGTGGTTATCCAGTTCTCCCAGGACTATTTATTGAATAGGGGTCCTTTTCCCAGTACATGCTTTGGTTTATCAAATATCAGGTGGCTGTAAGATGTTAGTTTCATCTCATAGTTTTCTATTCATTTCCAAATGTCAGTGTCTCCATTTTTGTTTCAGCATCATGCTGCTTTGATCACTGTGACTTTGTAGTATAGCTGAAAGTCTGGTAGGATGATACCCCCAGCTTTGTTTTTATTAGTAAGAATTACCTTCGCTCTATGGGGTTTCTTCAATTCCATACAAAACAAAAAATATTTTTTCCAAATCTTGAAAGTATGATGATGGTATTTTAATGGGGATTGCATTGAATCTGTAAATTGCTTTGGGTAGTATAGACATTTTCAAAATGTGATTCTTCTCAGCCATGAGCATTTGTTAAAGTCTTCTGCTATTTCTTTTCTTAGGGTTTCATAATGGGATCTTCTTTTTTAATGTAGTTATTCACTGCTATAAACTTTCTTCTTAGAACTTCTTTTACTAAAAAACCATAAATATTGATATGTTACATTTTCATTTTCACTGTCTCAAACTTTCAAGTGCCCTTTTAACTTCTTCATAGACCTATAGGTTATTTAGGAGTGTGTGTTATTTAATTTCCACTTATTTGTAATTTTCCAATCTTTCTTCTTTTTTGACTTCTGGCTTTATATCTTGTGGCCAAAAAAGATACTTACTATGAATTCAATCTCTTGTGACTTGTGTCATGACCCACCGTGTGATGCAGCCTGGAGAATGCAGGAGAATGTGCCTGAGAAGAAAGTGTATTCTGTTGTTGTTGGATAGAATGTTTTGTTTATGTCTGTTAGGTCCATTTATTCTAATATGTAGTTAAAGTCCAATTTTTTCTTGTTTATTTTAGTTTTGGATGATCTGTCTATTGCTGAAAGTGGGGTATTAAAGTTCCCTACTGTTATTTAATTATAGTATACTCTCCCTTTAGATCTATTAATATTTATTTCATATATTTAGGTGCTCCAGTGTTGGGTGGAGAATATATATTTTGGGCTTTTCTTCTTCAAGGCAAGATTATGGCTGAAAAATTTCACTCTGACTGGGTAAAGACCTT